GTGTATTCATTGTGGTTTGGATGGACATACTATTAACTACTGCCATGACTTACATGGTCCACCCTCGACGTGGGCTAACCATGCCATGACTAGTGACACCAGTTTCAGCTTTAGACAGAAGAACCGGTCAGCTGACCAGGTGCCTTCTACCTCTTCAGATGGTCCAGGCAAGGAGATGGTGAGTGTTCATTGTGATGAGTATGAAAGGTTCGTTCAATCCACGTCGCACTCGGGTCCACGGAGGTGTACTCATTGTGGTTTGGATGGACATACTATTAACTATTGCTATGACTTACATGGTCCACCCTCGACGTGGGCCAACCATGCCATGACTAGTGACACCAGTTTCAGCTTTAGACAAGAGAACCGATCAGTTGACCAGATGCCTTCTACCTCTTTAGATGGTCCAGGCAAGGAGATGGTGAGTGTTCCTCGTGATGAGTATGAAATGTTCGTTCAATCCACGTCGCAGCAGAACACAACTACCTTTGCACACTCAGGTATGGCTTGTTTGGCATCCACACCCAACCCCTGGATTATTGACTCTGGAGCCTTTGATCACATGACGGGAACTCCAGGTGTGTTTTCATCTCTCACTCATTGCTCAACATCACAATCTGTTACCCTTGCTAATGGCTCCACATCATTTATTCGTGGTGTTGGTAATGTTGACTTAGACCCTGTATCCTTATCCTCTGTTTTATATGTACTTAAGCTTCCATTTAATCTTATGTCTGTTAGTAAGTTGACCAAGTCCCTTAATTGTTCCATTACATTTTACCCCTCTATGTGTGTTTTTCAGGATCTCAAGACGGGGATGAAGATTGGTGGAGGGCATGAAGCCGATGGACTGTATTATCTTGATGGTGGTGGAAGAACGTCAACGGCCCTTCAATCATCTATTTCTCCTCTCTAGTGGCATTGTAGATTTGGTCATCATTCGCTAAAAGTGTTGAAGTCCTTGGTCCCTTCATTGAGTCAACTTTCTGTTCTAGATTGTGAGTCGTGTCAATTTGGGAAACACCATCGTGTTCTCTTTCGTTCTAGGGTTGATAACCGTGTGTCGAGTCATTTTTCTTTAATTCATTCCGATGTTTGGGGTCCTTATAAAGTGATGTCATATAATGGATATAGATATTTTGTAATGGATATAGATATTTTCAAGAATGACGTGGCTCTATTTAATGAAAGAAAGAAGTGAATTATTTGCCATCTTCCAGAAATTTTATACTAAGATCCACAATCAATTTGGCGTTCACATCAAAATTTTCCGTTTTGATAATGGCCGTGAATACTTGTCTTCATTTTTTCAAGAATACTTGGACCAACATGGCATTATACACCAAACTTTATGTACCTACACCCCACAACAAAATGGGGTTGCTGAGAGAAAGAACCGACATCTTGTAAAAACAGCACGCTCACTCATGCACCACATGAATGTTCCCAAACCCTTTTGGAGTGATGCAATGCTCACCTCTTGTTTCTTAATTAATCGGATGCTCACGTCTATTCTTGATGGTCGTTCTCCTTTTAGTGTCTTGTTCCCCAACATGTCTCCGCTTCTGTTTCCTCCTCGGGTATTTGGGTGTGTCCGCTTCGTCCATAATCTGGGTCCCGGGACTGACAAGTTCGATGCACGATCCCTTAAGTGTATCTTCCTTGGCTATTCCCGGACTCAGAAAGGGTACAAGTGTTACCATCCCAGTTCTCGTCGTTCCTTGGTATGTGTTGATGTTACTTTCTTCGAGTCTACTCCATTCTTCGTGGGGTCTGGTGATGCTGCTTCCTCTACATCACCTCCTCCTCTTCCCCTTCCTGTGGCTGATCCTCCTCCTCTGGTTCCAATCGTGCCTACGCCCTTGCCTCTGGTGCCACCGTCCGTTGACCGTCCACCTATCCGTCACGTGTATACACATCGCCCACGTGTACCGGCTGCGACTCCTTTGGCTTCATCACCGTCGACGGATCCAACTCCAGATATGACACCAGCCTCCGACTTTGATCTTCCTATTGCCTTACGGAAAGGTAAACACACATGCACCCTTCACCCTATTTCCAATTTTGTTTCCCTTACTCACCTCTCCGCCTCCCATCGCCAGTTCATCTCTTTGTTATCCTCAGTGGTTGTTCCTAAGGATGTCCAGGAAGCCCTTACCTCTCYAGAGTGGTGYCRTGYTATGGAAGAAGAGCTCTCTGCCCTCCATCATAATCACACTTGGGACCTCACCGCTCTTCTTCCTGGGAAGCAGACTGTCGGTTGTAAGTGGGTGT